TTAGCAGCCTGTTTAAAACTGTTAACCACAAAATAAAGCTCTGTTTAGGATAAATCAAGGAGTCCCAGACTGTCAAATACCAGTTTACATTGCCAGAAACAGGAGATATGGCCGAGTATAGCTTCGACAACTGGATATTTGAATTTTTGCAACATGAACTGATGCAACTCTTCAGATTTTCTATGCCTCCACATATAATAATTGCTTTATCCCTGGCTTTGAGCAATTGTTTCCACATCCAAGAATCACCAACTTTCATGCTGACATGCCAGATTGTTGTATTTTTCAGATATTTTCCGTGAATCCACTTAATCCACAACCATTCTTTGTTAACATGTATATACCAAATGGTTTTTAAAGCTGAAGCCAAGTTCCAAGTTTTTGCAGAAAAAATTCCCAAACCACCACACTTCTTCTCCTTACAGATTTTGTCCCAAGCAACTAGGGGCGATTTGTAAACCTGGTCAGTTTTACCCCATAAGAAATCTCTGCATAAGTCATCTATTTTTTGGAGAACTTTAGAAGACAAAATATAATTAGAGGTCCAATATATTTGAATCCCCAGCACCACACTTTTAATGATCTGAAGCCTACCAGCAAAAATCAGTTTCTGATTTTTCAGCCAGGACTCAAATTGATTTGTAATCTTCTTAAATAGGGGAGAGCAATCAATGTAGGAGAGCCTCTTGCATATTAAAGGTACACCAAGATACTTAATTGGCAGGGAACCCTCATGAAATCCAAGGCAACTGTTGATAGATGCTTTAACATCTTCTTCAATGCCACCATAGAAAATAGCACATTTAGAAGGGTTGGCTTCCAATCCAGAAATTTCACCAAAGTCCTTTACACACTGATATAGTTTTTGGATAGAGTATATGTCACCTCTACTGAATAGAAGAAGGTCATCAGCAAAAGCAAGGTGTGTAATTTTCAACTTTCCACACAGAGGATGAAATTTGAAATCTTTGTCATACTTTAGCATATTCATATTTCTGGAAAGATACTCCATGCCTATAATGAACAAATATGGAGATAAATGATCCCCTTGTCTTAAACCCCTTGCACCCTTGAAATACCCATGGAGAGATCCATTCATGGATATAGAAAATTTGGTGGATGAAATACATGCCATAATCCATTTAATGAATATTGCTGAGAACCCCAAACCTTTAAGCATGCTTTCCAGAAAAGACCAGCTAATTGTGTCGAAGGCTTTCCTTATATCAATGTTTATCATAACTCTCGGAGTTAAGTGTTTTCTGCCATAGTTCTTTACCAATTCATGTGCTAACAAAATATTGTTGTTAATTTGCCTACCTTTGTGTTTTCTGCCATAGTTCTTTACCAATTCATGTGCTAACAAAATATTGTTGTTAATTTGCCTACCTTTGACAAATGCACATTGAGCTTCACTAATTATATAACCAATGACAGATTGCAGCCTATTAGCAAGGATTTTTGAGATGAACTTATATAGGCAGTTACAGCAAGAAATTGGCCTAAAGTCAGCAGGGGATTGAGGGCATTGTACCTTGGGAATGAGTGAAATAGAGGTGGAATTAATAGCTCCCAACAGTTTTCCAGTTTCAAAGAATTCCTGAATAGCAGAGGTTACTTCTTCACCAATAATAGGCCATGCAGTTTTATAGAATGATGCATTGAACCCATTAGGTCCTGGGGCTTTGTCCTCTGACATAGAGAAGAAAGCTTGCTTAATTTCTTCATTTGTAACTGAACAAGATGGATTTTGACAATATTGTTACCGTTAATTGTGAAAGTATCACCCAATTGCAATGAAACCCCTTGTAGTTCTATTTATCGTGAATAGACCCCTTTGTAGTTCTACTTGTCACAAATTGACCCCCTTGTAGTATGGTCCAAGTGCGAATACACCTCTTAGTGAACTTTTTCAACTCTTTTAAAAGTTTAAAAAAGCAATTAGGTGTCTATCCTCATCAATAAAACTACATAGGATCTATTCACATCCTCAAACAATTTTAACGATTTTTAGAGTTAAAAAAATTTCACTTAGGGGTATGGGTATATTTACAACAAGTAGAACTCGAAGGGATCTAACAAGTAGAACTCGAAGGGATCTACTCGCAACAAATAGAAATGTTGCGGGTCTATTTGCAGGGGGTTTGCTCACAATTAACCCATATTTTTATGTTAATAATTTTCACTTATAATGAGTTTCAAGCACACTTTATGAATTAATTGTTTCTGAAAGCAACTTTTGATATGATTAAAGAATGACTACTTTTAGTAGCTCACATAATTTACTTCTATAAACTTTATATAAGTAATTTGTTATAAGCTCCAATATTACCATACCAGCCCCAAATCCGTTACTCTATCATCTACCTTTACAGAAATTCAACCATTACCCATCACCGTCTAAGCTGTAGCCTCTCTTGAGGGATAGAGAAAATGAACACAATTTGGTAAAACAATTAAAATTCTCCAAAATATTTTGATGTTATAAATCAACTAACACACACCAATAATGACTTGTATTTCTATTGGTGGATACTTCTATTTTAGTCGCCCACCTGGAGTTTCGAAAAGACCGTATGAGTAGTGAAAACAAGATTAAAAACTCAGGAGATTCCATCCTTTAAGCCTGTGCGAATATACAAGAATTTTGCAGTATGAAGACTTGAGAATAGGTCTAATGAGGACAGTCCATCACATCTAACGACTTCTAATCGTGGGAAGATTACATAACAAATAACTATGGTTATTCTAGAAAGAAAACGTAAAACTGGTATAATTGTCGAAAAGACACATTTGTTCCCCCCTCCCCCCCCACCCCACAGAAATCATTTAAAAATAGAGTCATTGTGTATAAACCACCTTTCAAACAATCACCTCCCTCAAAAATTTCACCAAAAAACCCGAAAATATCCTTAAAAGCTCACCTTCAAAATATGTGACTTACGTTGTTAATGTTTAAATCTAATTACGACACCTGTCACGCGACTTAAGCGTGCATTTTTAAAGCTTGTTTTTTATTTTTTAGTGAAAATTTGACAAAGAGATAGTTGATTGGAATAAAAGCTTATTTTAGAGGTTATTTATGTATAAATTGAAAATATAGTAAAATTTCTGTAAAATGATCCTATTTTTTTTAAGGTGGTTGCTAGGGAAAAAACTCAAAAAAGAAAAGTATAATATCATGCCGTTATTTTTCTTGTAGCCTATTGATGTGTCGTATTTTTGTTTTGCGCACAAAAATATATGATGTAAAATGTTCCAAAAATATTTTCAGAAAATGTTGGCCGTACCAATTTCTCCACATTTTCAGCCAGTCAATTGCTTGCAGTTGCCTAACAATTATCGCATGCCAATTGCCAAAACTAAAATTACCTTCTTCTAATATTTAATCAGTATCGTCATGTTGCTTCGAATGAAGAACAAGGGGTTCAAATCCTGCTTGGCCCAAAAATTCAGATATCTTATTTGACCAAACTTGTACAAGAAACTCTAACCAATTATATTGCTTGTACCGACTCAAGCAAAGCCTCTACTCTCTAAATTAATTAGAAGTTTCAAATTTTTATCTTAATCATCAATATATTATTTGTGTTTAATTGATTAATAAAGACATTTCTTTCGGGGTTGTAATTGTAAAGGCGTACATGCTGAAAGACGGACTAATTTGACTCTATTTGTACCAACTTGACTCAAAAGAATTAACCTTATTGAGTCCTAAGTTTAAGCATATCTAACTATTAAATAGCAATTAATATGACTGTTCTTTTCCTTATGTTTCAATTCTTAACTCTTGCATAAGGGGCTGTTTGGTTGCACACTTTTTAAGAAAACTTTTCTTAAAATATCTGACAATGACAATTTTGTAATTAAAAGTTTTCTATAGATTTCTGTAAATTGTGTTTGGTTCAACAAAAAATTTATAGAAATATTTTCTATAAAATATCAAAAACTACTAAATTTTACAAAAAGCAATTTCCTCTCAAAATGAGAGGAAATCAACAGAAATCTGACACCTTCCTTATTTAATCAACAAAACCCCAATTTCCTCTCAAAATGAGAGGAAATCAACAGAAATCTGACACCTTCCTTATTTAATCAACAAAACCCGTCCCATACCCATTTTCTATAAAGTTATGAGCTATTTTCTTGTTTTGAACCAAACAAGCAAAGTAAAAAAAATAAGAAAATTGGTACTTTTTGACTTCTTAAAACTTTTCCTATTATTTTTTAAATAAATACAAGGAAATCATATTTTGGGTGGAAAACATTTCCTATAATTTCTAGAAATTGAACCAAACACCCCTAAGATGATTAGATTAATTTGAAGAAAACCCACCAAATAATCTTTCATATGCAAAATAATTTTTCTTCTTACTTAATCTAGTAAATGATATTATTCATCTCCTGTAAAAAAAATTTTAAGCATTATTTTCCCCCTCATTGAATTATTGGATTACATTCACATAGACATAGGTGTTCTCTCTACAACACATTGAAATATAATGATGTATCTTCTCAACACATTAGCTTGACTTCCACATGACGAATAGTGGTACCAATTAAATCTTCTCATTCAGTAGACCCCGTGAATGATTTGAGTTATCTAAATCATATAAAAATACTTTTAATTGTGAGGCCCACTAAGATGAACCAATAGTATTAACCCACCTAATCTTTTGTAGGCGTTCTCTTCAACAATCCGGGCTCGGTACCAAAGAAACACGAAAATCTATTTTAAATCCTTCACTTTTTGTTTTAACTTTTCCAATGCTGAAACTATGCTTACAGATGAATATCCTTGGAAGTATAAATAAAAGAATTTAGAGATAAGAAAAATGTCTTAGGGACCCAAAAACATAGGACCCTACATGGGACATGTGAGGTGTCGGCTCCATGTCTCATGATGCATTGTTCAGAACAGTGTATCATGGGACATGGAGCCGACACCTCAACTGTCCCATGTAGGGTCCTATGTTTTTGGGTCCCTATAGCACCACCCTAAAGATAATAAATAAGTAACGCTCTTTTTACTTATAAGTCTCCAACCCCCAACAGTTCTGATCAACTCTTTTACAGTTGCTGATGTGGAGTGGCATCCGAGTACCCAATCCCCTTCCTCTTGGTCGGAAACACCATGAACACCAACCCCGCCAGCACGGCCGCCCCCATCGGCATATTCACCAGCAACTCCTTCCCATCCGAACCCACATCCGGAAACAGACACCGTTGCACATCCGCGTCTCCGAACGTCAGCGCCAAGAACACCACCACCGTAAACACCGCGTGCACATAATCCAGCACCCTCAACCTGAACCTCTTCAGGTTCAAGTCTTTCTTAACCCTAGTTTTCTTTGTTTCTGGATCGTCGCCGTAGTTGAAGATGTAGAAGCCTTTGAAGGTGGCGATGCCGTAGTAGAGATGACCGTTGGGGGACTTGAGGGTGTCGGTGAAGGAGAAGAAGATGCAGGAGAGGGAGCAGATGAGGAGGAGGGAGTAGGTTAGGTATTTGTTGGAGGGGTAGCATTGGCCTTTGTTGGTGAAGGAAGGGGAGAGGGATTGGAATATGAGGACTGTGCCGGTTGGGAGGAGCTTTGTGAGGTTAGCGGCGCTGGAGAGGGTCTTGTCGATCACTGCAGGCGAAGAGGTTGATGATGATGATGGTTGAGGGGGAGAAATATGGGTTGTTGTTGATTTTGTTTGGGATTTTGGGTGAGGAGATGGAGGGGGCTCATGCAGTTCTATCACCGAGTGTTCCATTTTAGATGGTTTTTTTTTTTTCAGTTCGAATGATGAAACTTTTGAGGGGTTATAAATTGGAGAGATTGTTTTTCAAGACTGAAGGTTGCAGGTTGTAGACTAAGTCTGGGTTTGAGACTTTTGAGTTGATGTCGCTAGCAATAGTTGGTTAGGGATTCACGTAAATGGTGGTTTCAAGGCTGGCTAGATAAATTACTAGGAACAAAAAATAGATACAAAATATCCACGAAAAGGATGATGATTTGTTATGACCCACTTTGACATGTTTTTGCCAATCAATAAAAATTACGTGACATATTGATAGTTAAGATGGAAGAAGATTAAGAGATTGGTGAGTTTTGGAAGGTGATCAAATTGAATCTTATAATTTCTAGATTTGGTTTGCTCCGTTGTTCAAGTTATAGTAGTTGGTTAAGAGACATACGTACGTGTTCGGCCCTGATGAGATATTAGTGTGTCGGCATGAGAATTTTGCTGAGGTTGACAAATCAAGAACACAGGGGAAATAATTATCACGCAACAATTGGTTATATAAGCTTGACAATTTGAAACTGTGGAGAAATAATCAACACAGTAACTTTATGCTTTTATGAAAAGATTTTTAAAATTTGCACATATTTTTTTTTTAAAAAAATATAACACATTGATTAGCAGTATACATTTTCTTAAATTAAATTTGCCTTAAATTTGTGACCGAACTGATAGGATTAAACTTAGATTAATTGCTCTAATACCATGCCGAAAGACCTTGTCGGTGTATTCAAACTTTGAAGTTGTTGTAATGGTTGAGCGTTATAGTTTTATATTCAAATATAAATAAGTCACAATACATTAATACATTTATATATTTCCTTATTCAAAAAATACTGGGCATTTTGATTCTTCTTTTGTTAGGCTATTGCATGGAAGCCTAGTTATTTCTTGCACAGTCTTCCCACGTTTTGGAGGGAGATGATTGAATGTTCTCATTTGACCTATTCTAAAATCTTCAAACTACAAAATACTTGGATTTACATACTTCCTTAAATCCTGGAATTTCTTGAACTAAATAATTTGTAACACTACTTACGTGGTCTCTCCTGATCCTCAGACTGCTATGACAGTGACTCGGCCGAAGTTGAATAGTTTATTAATGGATCCAATTCTCCCAAAGAAATACCAGTCATTGATGGTTTAGTTGATAATAAAACCAAAATATATATTTTGGAGAATTTTCAACTGTACTCCTGAATTCTATTCAATGTTTTAAAAATGTAGCAAGGTTACTGAGGACGAGTCGATCAATATTGACTTCCAAATCTGCGAAAATGACAACATAAAACATCCTAAAATGAAAATTAAAGAATAGACTATTCTTAGAAATTAAAACTTTCCAGCTATTTACCAAAAAATCTTCTTATTGTTAAATAAAATCGACACCATTAATATCTTAAGAAAACTAATTCCAGGTTCATTTCGTTAGGTAAACATTTTTTTCGCAATTGATTCGCCAACCTCCTAAAATATTACTGTTGGGAATTTTAGATCTCACAAAAACGCCAAAAATCACCAAACACAGCAAATAGAATCACAAGAGATTTAATGTGGAAAACCCTCAACAAGGGAAAATCATGAGATCAAAATTAATCCACTATCACCTCCAAATTTATAATCGTTTGCACGACAAAGACTGCCAAACTCTCTCTCACAATACTCTTGAACCCGGTTATACCCTCTAAAATCATGATTACAATAATATTATCTCTGTCATTCCCTCTCTACTCTTAACCCTAGAATAGTAGGTCTTATTTAAAGACACCCATAACTTGTCCACCTAGTTAACTTGGCCTCTACGAAAACTACTAGGACCGTGCCTAGTCTTTAAACCCGCATCCGACTTGGAGTTTGAGTTGGTACCCAACACATCCCCCCTAGACGAAAAATCTCCAAGTGTCTCAACGACTTCAGAACAACTCACTCTCTTCTTCTTGTTCTTCATATCTCCCTTGTGAACAGATCGCTAATTTAAATAGAAAATATGGTTGCTATTCTTTCTCTCTCACAAAATCAAATCACTATCTTTATACACTTTGCACCACCCTCATTCACCCACATACTTGTACCTACGCGATGCCATCTCACCCAGTAAAATAAAATTAGCACAACATGATGGCACGTATCTCACATGATAAAGAATTTCAACCTTTCCACTGTGAAGTTTGAGGTGAACACTCCCAATGCCTTCAACCTCATCTTCTCGTTGTTTCCAACGATCACGTCGTCAAATTCTTTATCTGTCTTCCATGTGTCAAAATAATATTTATTGTTGCAAACGTGCATAAAGGCTACAGAATCTAACACCAAAGTGTTACTCGCATTAGTACATGTACTTTGCATCAACATCACCACATCTTCATCACACATAACTATTGAGGAGTCCACCTTCTTCCCATTTTCTTGAAGCTTCATCTGTCAAATACTCTTCAAATCATCTTGCATATGGGAACATCTGAACTGAATGTGACCTTTCTCATCACAATAATAGCACTCCCTTTCACCGTCGTCTCGAGCCCGAGATTTTTACCTTCCTCGAAAACTGTCATATCTCCCTTACTCTTCCCTCGATTAGAACCTTCAAAAGCCAGTGCACTCTCACCACTATTAGATGCGTTCTCCTTTCCCATTATTCTTTCATTCTCACGTAGAAATGCTTGTTAGGTCTCATGTTTATGAGCCTACGGTCTAATCTTGTTTTGACGATTTATAAATAATCCCTAACATAGTTTGTCTAGTATTTGAGTTTGCTCATTAGGCACTCTAGACAACAATGATGTTGGATAAAATTAAGCCTTCATGATCATATTTAAAGGAGTTTGGTGGAGTATCGGAGTGAAGCTATGCACAATTCAAGTCAAAGATTCAAGATCAAACTTCATTCGCAAACCAAGACAAGCTCATTGAAGATTCATTGCTTGGTATAGTGTTATAGTATTTTAGGTGTTTATACTTTGTGTGTTAATGCTTAAAGCTCAAACAATATTACACACATACATGTTTTCGGTTTATACCTTTCAAGTTTAAATAAATATGAAACAACTAGCTATATTTATATACATACGTACACATTTCATATTTATCATCTTTGTTTTGGAAAATATTATGTTTGAGGATTATAGACTTGAAATATTAGTTTATATCTTTTATAAAGTCTATTAATCCATTTAAAAGAAGTTTGAAACTTGGTTGAAATTATTTTGACAAAATCATGTGTTTTTGAGATTACGTATTTTGATCGATTTTGCAAAATGATGAATTTTCACAATTAGAAAGTGTAATTTAAAAAATTCATTTTGTAACATGTTCATTTTCATGTTTATAAATATTTTCCAAAGTTTTATATTTTTTAGAATTTATTTGCTATTTTTAAAAGAACTTGCAATTCAATGTTGTGAAAACTGCATATATCAGTTTTTGGTCGACCAAACAATTCCTTCCGGTCGACCAACCATCAGTTTTTGGTCGAACGAAAAGGTTTTGCCATACCCTATATATTAGTTTTCGATCGACCGACCATCAGTTTTCGGTCGACTTGACAATATTGTTGTTTTGTGATATTTTCTTGGTTTTTGGGCCTCTGCTTCTTGATCCTATATATCCCCCATACCCTTTAACTTCTGAACTAATCAAGAAAGTTTTTAAATAAGTTTTACAAGGTTTTAAAAGGTGTTTAAGTTTGTTTCAAGTTTGTGATTGTGTAAAGAAGATTTCACAAAGAGGAGGCTTACAATTTCGTTTGAGGAATTCATCCTCATTCTCTCTTCTACACCTCTTTGTGATTTTGGAGAAGTTTTCTAAACTCAATTATCTAGCTTTTTATTCTTGAATTTTCATATTCACGTTTGCTAGAATAAATTGAGTTTGATTTTAGTTTTGTTATTGCTCTTTGATTACACACACCCACTTGAGCTTAAATATTTCATACATAGTATATTGGAGTTGTGAGAGTGTAACTTTGAGTGTGAGCTTTATTGTGTTCTCATCCTTTGTAGAGAACAAAACATTTTACTTGTGCTTAATTATGAGATCACTTTGTAATACACTTGTTCACCGAGAAAAGTGTGTGGTGAGAGACGGGGTCGATTCTAAGAGGAGTGAGGTCGATGGTACAGCCTAGAGAGAGGTGATAATTTCGAGCACTTGAGGAAGGCGACACGTGCTAGACCAACACTTAAAGGGTGTAGAGTGTGATTGTAAGAGTGTGAGTTATGTAAGTTTTCGGTGAGCTAGAAAACCGAGATTGTGAGGTGTAAACGTTTTGGGTGAACGTTGAAAACCCGTTGTGATAGTGTCTCGGGAGTGGGGAGCGGAGACGTAGGTCGGAAGAACCAAACTCCGTGATTATATTATGTGTTTGATTTTGCCTTGACGTTACATTTGTGCTCATTATTTATCTCATTCTATTTCGCCATTGCTCATGTTTATTTCGCCTTTAGTTTAATATCCTTACATATAATCTTCTTGAATATCATTCTTGCTAGGATAATTAGTTAATAAGTTTTTAATTGTCATTAATATCGGATTAGATTAGCACTTATCCTATTCACCCCCTCCAGGATAATTTCAATTGGTATTAGAGCAATTTCATTTGGTATCAAAGCTTGGTGCTATTTGATTTGTGGCTTAACCGTCTTGAATTAAAGATCCTAACTTTGTAGTTTTACTAATCTAGTTTTGAGATTTATTGCATCTTGCTTGCATATATTTTCTTGCATATATATATATATATATATATATATATATAGTATACTATATATATATATATATATATATATATATATATATATATATATATATATATATATAATATATATAGGTGAAAACTTGTGTCAACTTAAGTGGATAGGGAATAGTGTGTCCACTCATATTACCTAGGATCCTTGTATTATATAAAAAGATGTTTTATATAATAAATATGTGGCTACAAACTTTGTGGACATCAACTTAAGTGATAGGAGTTTTGC